AGCAGCGCTTCGTCCTCGCACCTTATTTCGGTCATTTTATTACACGAAAAACCGCACTTTGACCGCGCTGTCAAATTTTCGCGAATTTCTGAAAAATAAAAATTCGCTGGAACCTCTAAATATGATTTTTAGAATAAGGTCACCTAAGGGTATCTTTGGGCAAAATATGAGCGATTTGTCAAATGGGACGTTGACCGGCGTTTCTCGATCCTAACAGTCAGCCATTCTTAAATCTCCATAGAAAAATAATACCTGGAGGCTGACTAGAAAACCCTTGGTTACTTCAGTCTCCAGACTCATATAGTACAGTTTCTGCTTTGCCTTTAGATTTCATTGATATAACAAAAAACTGTAAATGTACGAGTAAATAAAGTTATTGTTGTTGTTGTTGTTTCACTTGTATTTTCTTAGTATATGTACTCATCTAAAGGCTTGGTGCTTATAGCGAGAAAATTCAACTGACTCGTGGGATATTCCATGATATATACTCGATATGATATTCCATGATATATACTCGAAAGCATTGCATAAATAGTTCATTTCTTAAGTTACATTTCATTTCTTAATTTCACAGTTATTCTTCAGTGATCAGATAATTCCTTACTTTCGGTGTAGTATCACTGATTATGAAATATTAAAGATGACTTCTCCGCTTCATTTCTAAAGAATATGCCAATTCATCAGATTTGCCTTTTGCACCAGCTTCAATGCAAGTGCAAAGCGTTCTATAAAATACATAGAAATTTGTTAACTTCACATAGAAATGAACGTGTTGGTAAATTAAAATTTGGAATTCCCTAGGATTGCGCAAATGAAGAAACCAGGTTGAAAAATAAGTTGAACTTAAACTACGTGTTTATTTGTAGAACCAAGAGACTGTGACCTAGGTAGTCTCTTGGTAAAACGAAATAAATCCCCACCCATCCCTTCTAACTCACTCTTCTTCCCTCAGAAACCTTCTCTGATATCAAAGCTCACGTTCACGTGTGTGGTTTGCCCTTGACCTACATTTGCCGAAGGTATGCTTATGTGGTTCAGCGGCTTTTCCGTATATCTTGCATTATCGCCGATTCTCATCTGAATCGACGACAATTCACTATTCATTTGCATCTCACGAAGCTTAACCTTTCTTTCCAAGTGAACGTGTCTCTATCACTTTGTTCTGGATAATTATATTCCTCAAGATTGGGGATTTAGGATAGAAGAACTCTGCACCTTACCTTTTCCCTGCTTTGACCTTGAACTACCAGAGTCAGTCAGTGTATATTCCCTTTTTCGCCTAAAACCTACTGTAATCGGGAAGCCGTTTGTCACCTTAACGCGTTTAATATTTGTGTTATCTGAAGGACTTTGGTTCTCTTGGTGGTCGCCACTGCCCGACCATCTAACCCATTTGAAAGTTCCCCTTCTTGGTTGAATTGTCTTCAAATAAGCTTTCTTCCTGCCGTAGAAACCATTTCCCACAGGTACAGTTGCCATGAAGATCAAAAGTGATAGAACTAACATCACAAATGCTCTTCCAGGCCGGGCATAAACACGGTTCATGTTTCCCCAAGCAAAGTCTTGACCCTTTTGACGTTCATTTCACCAAAACTAAGACATGTACCATTGCGGTTGTCTCATCCGCTCTATAGCTCTCGAGAGGAGTGGCGGATATTGTACCTTTAAGGAATAAACATGGCTAGATTGGCGTAAATATTGTTATCCGAGTCTAGTTTTACTTAGGGTACATAATTAACCGATTCGTCGTTTAAAAATTAATACGATGTAATAGAAAACTAGTGTAGTGGAGTACCGACAGGTGCTAGTAAACCTGTATCCCGGAAATTCCTTTAAACAAATTACTTTATTATCTGCGAAGAGCAGCTTTTTAACAAAAAATTAATCTGTAAGAGATAATGATCAGCCAGTTTCATTCGTTAAAATCTTTTAATCTGTTATTCGTTTTTTAGGTCACTAATTTCATGCAAGTTTGTTTTGACTGAAACGAAGACGAAACTGCTGTAGTGCAACTGCAACTATGGATGCAGGTCACAAACAAACCAACTCAACTACTTTGGGTTGCTGTGATCCTACTGAGAAATTCTAAGAAAGTGTATTATTTTGGGACGGTTTTAGGAGAGGCGGGTGGAGGCGAAGCCCGCCTTTTTGTATCTGTTTCTCCAATATCAGACACCTTCTCACAACCGTATAATTGCTTCACCCAGCGTGATGCCATGCTCTAATGTGAAAGGTACACACGAAACACGAAACCGCATTCATGGTTGTTAAATATGATTGACGAGAATGGATCCAGTCCTTAAAAGGCTGGTTGGTACTTGACGCCCTGAAAGAAAGTTCAGAAAAAAAGGTGACCTTCTAAAGCGAAATATTTGAACATTTTCTTGTTATGTTATAGTCCTAGAATTCGAGGCGAGAAGTGTGTTGAACAGTATAACATTGATCAAAACAGCGCACGTCTAGATGCATCGATCGCCCTCAGAAACACTAAAATAGTGTTTGCGAAGCAAGGCTTAAAAGTTATTCGGTTACACCTGTTCAATTCGGACAATGTAGCGACCAGCTTGTTAACGGGTGGTGTTTGCATACTAAATTTCAAGGATCCATGCAAGTAACCGTCGTAACATGATGTTCTGTGACGCGAGTTCTTCCAACATCAATATCACCAAAAAATGACGTTTTAGTAATTTGAAACGATGAAAGTTGCTTGGTTATGTGTATTTTTGTACACGCTATTTTTGCGCCCTGTAACGGAGAGTAAAGTACGGTACACGAGACATCAAAGCGGCCGATTGAAAGTATGGCACAAGATTCAGTCGAGGTTGAATGGCCATCGAAAGACACATATCGCGAAGAAACATCCGCATGGTAAGAATGAAAGTCTCACAATTATGTCACAAGGATTGATATATGTGTATATATGTAATTGTTGTATTACTGTTAAGATTGTTTTCTCCAGACTATCTTAATTTGATTAATATTCAGGTTTTACAGCAAGAGATCTAAGGCATATTAAATGAACAATATCAACATGGACAGGTCTTCTCGTAAAATATTATGTATTATTATTATTATTATTATTATTACAGACTAGATTCTAAAGCGATGCTTGAATGTCGTTTATAACGAACGAGCACTTACTAAGTACTCTTTATGGACTCGAGGTTGCCTTCATGGGAATGAAATGCGGTAATCTTTGCCTGATTCCTAACTAAATGTAAAATATCATACTGGTATACTAAATAACCGTACGCTACCTAATCAAGTAAGCTATTCTGCCTTGTTGCAAAAACTAGCTGGATAGCGTTTCCTTGAAAACAGCCTGAACAAAAGTAACCAATCCTAATCTGTTCCATTTTCCTTTGCAGAGCTATCAAGTCCAACAAGACCAGTGAAGCATGCACATCTATTTCATTCTAATTATAGGTTCAAACACAGAAAAAAGTCGGTCAATGCAAAAGGTTCGCCGAAAGAAGTTATTGTCAAAGTGAACGGACAAAATGTATACTCCAGTAATCCACAAAGTACAAACTCCACTAGTGGAGCCACACCGACCACACCGACTTCACCAATTTCAGTAACAACGCTTGCCCCACAAACGCATAACATAAACCTTCACATTAACCTTACTAAGGCTTCGAATCCTCCTGAAGAAGAAAGTAACCGACCAATTATTGTAGCTGCACCGCCTAAACCCCAGCCAGTTGTGGCCCTTTTGCCTGCAATAGCATCTCAACCTGCACTGACGCCCGCTGTTGTACCTCAAGTTCAACCTCCTGCACCACAGCCTGTTCCCCCTGCCACAACAGCACCACCTGAAAAGAAGGGTGAATCAAGTCTTAGTAAGATATTACTGACAGCTGCTTTATTAAAAAGTCTAACGGGATCAGACTCCTCCGAAAGCACGACAGAAGGTTATCCTTCTGCGCTTCAAAACCTTTTAATGCCTAATACGTCTCCACTCAGCGCGTTGCTGGCCCAAGGTGGATGGCCACCGTTTGGTTATCCCCAAGCCGCATCTCGACCAATGGGATATCCACGACTAGGATACCCTCAATCTGGGGTTCCAGCGTTGGGGAATCCAGCATTGGGATATCCAGCTGCTGGGACAAACATGGGGTATCCCGCTGTTGGTGCAAACATGGGATATCCGGCTGTTGGGGCAAACATACGGCCTCCGACTGTTGGTACAAACCTGGGATATCCAGCTGTTGGTGCAAACATGGGATATCCGGCTGCTGGAACAAACATGGGATATCCGGGTGTTAGTGCAAACATAGGGCCTTCGACTGTTGGTACAAACATGGGGTATCCGGCTCTTGGTTTGAACATGGGATATCCTGCCGGTGGGAACCCAAACTTGAGATATCCTGCCGCTAGCAATCAAAACATGGGATATCCTGCCATCAGGAACCAAAATATGGAACATCCTACCGGTAGTTATCAACCTGCCAGTTGGAACCCAAACTTAAGATATGGTGACAATGGTAAGGAAAATATAGGAGATCTTGCCGGCGGAAGCCAAAACATGGGTTATCCTGCAGGAGGTACTCAGAACATGGCATATCCTGGCGGTGGGAGCCAAAGCATGGATGTAGCAGCACCAACAGTACCAAACTTTCTTAGTGCACTCTCTCCGACACCGCCTACTAATCTTCTTCAGAACCCTAGTGCATCGTCAGGGGGCGCAAATCCGCCGTTCCCAGGTCCGAAGGTTCTCCCTAATTTGAGACCCCTCGGGTCTTTAGGGACTCAGAGCCAAAGCGCTGTTCCATTGTCCGCTCCAACGCCTCAAGTGCAACCTATTGCAGCACCTGTAGGTATGCCTGGGGCAGTCACTGGAATTGGTCAAGCTCAAGCACAAGCCCAAGCTCAAGCTCAAGCTCAAGCTCAAGCTCAAAGCCAAGGCCAAGGTCAAAGTCAAGGCCAAGGCGTTGGTATGGGTCTTCCCGCGAGTAGTTTAACAGTTCCGTCGACATCTACAGGTGTTCCTGGAATTGATCCTATGAGTTCTTGTTGGTGTGGATGTGAGGCGGACTGCTCGCATCCATGCGACCTATGCAATGCTGGCGCTGCCAACTACTACAACTATAATAATAACAATAATAACGGTAATCAAAACATCGTGGGTACCGTTTATCCTACCAATACTGGCTAAACTACGTCATAGTTAATATGACTTTGGCACTTGGGTACGTAGGCCCTAATTGGATAGGACAGTTTACATCTAAACTCGAACAGTTGCGACAATCTCCATTTGAGCGATATGCTGAGCTGCACAATCTCTGAACAAAGGCTATTACTGCAAAGAAACCTCTCCTTATATCATTACTACTACGTACGTAACTTTTTTACAATAAACGATAGACGACACTCTTTTTTAGCGTAGTGTCATCTATCAACGATATGCGACATTCTATAACCATAACATGAATGCCTTTCTGACCTGCATGAAATGAGCTGTTACTCCGCATGAAAAAATGAAGGGTAGGAAGAGTTAAATGATCTGAAAGCTCAGGAATGTCCCTAAAAGACATAAACAACACCAGACCTTTTTATACGCCAAGCGAAATTATTTTACTACTGGTTAGTGGCCTCACGAGGATTCGCCTCATTTCGTCTCATTTCGTCTCGTTTTCGTCTCGTTTTGTATTCACACGAAAAAAACTTCAACCGTCTGACTGAGTCCTCGAAATGTTAGTGTTAGTTCGTTTCTGTTTTAGTCTGCATTCCCATGTTCAGTTAATGTCTTCTTTATCATTTCCTTTTGCACCGTGGTAGCTGTCGCTGCTAGCCATTCCGTTAGCGTTTATATGTATTAAACAGAAGCCACTGTAGTTGCGATAAATAAAAAATAAAAATTGTCATTTTACAAAATAGTCTAGTGATAAAACTAGGGTTAAAACTCTCTCAAAAGTTTACATTTGAATAGTCACCCATGAACAATAGTGTCCAAAATGTATTTACGACTGCGGGATTGAAGATGTTGATGTGAATGATTTAAAATGCCTTTGCTTTGCTCTGAAAATGAAACTAAGGTCTTGTGAACTTCTACCAAAATAGTATTCACAATGGGAAACAGTTCCATGATACACTGCTCGAAGAGTCAGGTACTTAACGGATACTACATAGGCTATTGGTGACACTGCAGCGACCTGCNGTGGTAGCTGTCACTGCTAGCCGTTCCGTTGGCGTTTATATGTATTAAACAGAAGCCGCTGAAGATGTGATAAATAAAAAATAAAAAATGTCATTTTACAAAACACTTGATAAAACTGGAGCTAAAACTCTCTCAAAAGTTTACATTTGAATAGTCACCCATCAACAATAGTGTTCGAAATGTATTTACGACTGCGGGATTGAAAAGGTTGACGGGAATGATTTAATATCTCTTCGCTTTGCTCCGAAAAATAAATTTAGGTCTTGTCAACTTCTCCCAAAATCGTATTCACAATGGGAAACAGTTCCATGATACACTGCTGGAAGAGTCAGGTAATAAACGGATACTACATAGGCTATTGGTGACACTGCAGCGACCTGCATGGACCCTGTAGTTTAAAAGGTGGATATATTATAAAATGACATCCACTGGATAAACCATGCTTATCCATTTGATAGTGATTTACACGGTGCATATCGTTACCTCCATGCAGGTCCTGAAAGTTTAAAAAAATTCCCCCATTGCATTTCCAGGAAAAAGGCTGAGTAGTCGTATGTTATTCAGCTCCATTTCGTAAAAATCCTCTTTCTGCGATTTTATTTCCTCTCTGAGCGGTATGCTTGAAATATTATAGTTAACGTTGGCAAAATATTACAAATATTTCCTTGTTTTTCTTACTTACTCCAACCTACCGGGACTCTGTTTCACAAGTGGGAGGAAGAGCATGACCGGAAGCTGTCTATTGTCTGCCCTGCACTACTGGTCACCAATTGTAAACACCTGTGATATAAGTCTGCACTCACAGGCAAGATTTTAAACTATACACAGTTTTCAATGTTGTTATTTTTTGGAAGATATGGAAAGCATAAAGAGCGTCTGCGTAGGAAGCTTAAGACAGTCTCAGGTTTGACAATGGCCACTTATTGACCACCTATTGACAACTCGAATTAACCTCCTTTGACCAGCAACTGAAGAGGAAAGGGCGAAACGTAAGGCCAGCCACAATGTTGAGTCTAGGAAGAGTAGACATCATGAAGCGAAGATAATTTATGCAGATAAATATACGAGTTTTGACTGGCATCCACGATACGGCCGGTGTGTAGCAAAACGCGGAAAACAAAGATGGTTTGGGCGGCAGCGTTACATTTTATGGGTTTCCGATATTGTATTTACATCAATCGGCGTATTTAAATTAAGTCAAGAAAGCAATAGTACTTGAAACCAAATAAACTGTGTGTACCGCTCAACAATACACAACCAGTTTGTCTACTGGTGTTCATAAATCTTTGATGCATGGCTTCCGCGCTAAACGAGGGCAGATTTGGCACTTTCTTGCCAAGCGAGAAAATGGAGAGAAAGAAAAGAGCACTAGTAGATTGCGTTTAATATGAAAGTTAACGGGCGAGCCGTTCTCTTATGGCATGCCCTGTGTATAAGCTGGTTGGCTGTTCAGGCGGGGCGTCTTGGGAAAGACGAGCAAAGGTCACGACCAAAATCGGACGTGAAGCATGGGATATACGAACCTAGTCATAATTTGTTTTCAAAGAAACTCAACGGTAAGTAATGTTAAAATAAGTCTCAATTGTGTAAGATTCATCGACGACACCCAAGGCTTGATGTGAATAACAGAATAAATAACTAAGGTCAACCTTGGTTCGTGTACTCTTAGCTTCGCCTTCGACTCTGACGAGAAGCTTAACACACACAAACCAAGTCGCCCTTTATTTTTTGAACATAACCCACATAAGATATAACCAGTTAGAGCTGTCTTAGGATCTCGAATTAAGCGGGCGGAGTAATATATCGCAGTAATTACTTCACTAGGGTCCAGCAATTTCTTCGGCGTAAAAGTGGCCCCTCATGATACGTTCAAAGATAGCTTTAAATATGACGCACAACTAAATGAACTGGTCATTTCTCTTTGATCCACTTTTCACTGGACATGAAATGAAGTCTTCAAATTGTTGTGGCTATTATATTAAATAATTTTTAGATTCCAGTTTTGTCGATCTCAAAGTAGGAGCACATCCACCAGTCTTGCACCGTTGTTCGGAAGAAGGTTAACCCTAATTTTCCTGATTTTGGAAAAGTTTAAAAATAACCAAATTTTGTTCTTCCTGACTAAAAGCCATTGTTTCCGTTCGTATTAAGTTAAAGAACACGGTAAAATTATAATTAAGATGAAAAACGGACCAGAACTCATTGCAGATGGTCTGCAAAACTTACATTTTAATCATGTGTGTAAGCTATCTATAAATTAACATAATTAACTGCATTGAAAAAATCTGCGTTGGTTTTGAAAATTCAGCCTAGCATAAAAGACTCATGGTAGAAGAATCATTTTATACGCTAATTATGATGTGAAAGAATTAGAATTTTCAACTATGAATCGTTTTTTAAAGAGTCGTTTCGGATAGAAATGTAATGTTATGTTATATAATATTATGTTTCTCCCCTTTACGGTTACCTTGTCAGTCCAATTTTTGCAGAAAAATACTCAGACATCATTTATTTTAGATAAAATTGAACAAGACAACTTATCAACTCTCACTTAAATGATGACAAGCTTTCATCACCCTTTTTGTCAATGAAACCACAATGAATGAACCAGTGAGTGGATGGATATTGTTTTCAACTTGGATACCTGGATTTTATCCAGAAGTTGGAAACAAATTCATTACATAGCCTGTTGGCGTAAATAATGACAAAAAACAAGACACAAAGCAATATTTCAAGTGTAAATGGTCTCATTCTACGGTTTTACGTACATATTTAAATGCAAAATCACCTTGTACGTCATGATAGACAGTACTGCAGCTGCAAGAATGACTCCAGAAACTTGCTTTTAAGACTCAATACGTAGACGAAAGTAAGAGTGGAGTTTTTTATATAATTCAGAGGAGATTGGCGAGGCAATCAAAACTGCTCTTAAGAGAGGACGCTTATATATTTGTTTTTTTTTTTCCTGGTAATGACTGGGAATATTGCTGTGCTCTCTAAATGTCGATGCACGACATCAGCAGGTTGCCTTCGTTATCGGTGTAGCGCTGACATTTGTACTGTACTGGGGAATAACTGCTAACCTTAGAGCTGGAGACATTCTGAAAATAAAGTGCTTTCTGAGAACGTAAACATGAGATATTGAATAATAAATCTAATGATCAATTTAAATGGATCACTCATGCATTACTGTGTATTACAGTGGGATTATAACAAAACCCTCACAATACACCAAGCCAAGGGTTGAACAGTAATAAGAAAGGGAAATGTTTCCATTTTCCCAGGGGTTTAAGTTTTAATCATTCCTGTAATACTGCGAGACCATTTTAGTTTCCTTATTGTTTTCCCCCATTTCTCCCGAGGCCAAATGTTTTATTTCATTTTATTCAAAAAATACTAATATTCTCATTTCGCATTCCTCTTAATTAATTCTCGAAGCCTATTGTATTCAATATGAAAGGGAGACAAATGTAATGACTAACGTTTTAGTAACTTTCTTTTATGCAATGCTAGAGCTTAAAATTATACAAGATTGTAACTAATCTCTTTTCATTTCAGACTCTTTACATTGGCCACTTACTGCGCGAGGACTCAGGAACAAAAATGAGAAGCGAACATTTATTCGTCGAAAGATACAAATCAAAGGGGCACCCAAAACAGTCGTCGTGACCGTAAATGGCCAGCGGGTTGACACAAATTCTGGTGGCACAACATCGCCTGTTCAACCACTGCCAGTTCCATTGCCTGGAGCGAATCATCCTATTAACCTTCATATCAATCTCAATAGAAAACATTTCGAAGGAAACATCGTCGGTCAGCGAAAACAGCCTATAATAATCGCTCGCCCAAATCCTCCTCGACCAATAGTGATTCCAATTCCGATGCCAGCACAAACGCAACCTCCTCAGCCAGTAATATTACCAGCTCCACTTCCTCCTCCTCTTCCACCTGCTCCCATCCTCCCAGCACCCATGCCCCCACCCTTGCCAGTTCCCATTCCAGTTCCGGCGCCAGCACCACCTCCGGATAAAGAAGACTCTGACCTTGCCAGCATCCTGCAGACAGCTGCTCTGTTAAACACGCTTGGAAAAAAGGAGGAAAGTCGTCCAAAGATAATACCAGTTATGCAGCCATTTATTCCCCCTATGGCGTATCAGCCACCTTTTATGGGATATCCACCTGGCAGGAACCTAAATCAAGGATATCAGGGATACCCGGCCGGTGGAAATCCTAATCAGGGATATCCGGCAGGTGGAAATCCTAATCAGGGATATCCGGCAGGTGGAAATGAAAACCAGGGATATCCAGCTGGTGGAAATCCTAATCAGGGATACCCGGCGCGTGGAAATGAAAACCAGGGATATCCGGCGGGTGGAAGTCCAAATCAGGGATATCCAGCTGGCGGAAATCAAAACCAGGGATATCCGGCTGGTGGAAATCAAAACGCAGCAGTCGCACCAGCTGCAAATAATGGCTCTCCTTTAGCGGGATTAAATGGAATCCTGCCTTTATTACTTCCCTTCAATTGCCGTTGTGGATGCGAAAGAAGGTGTCCAGATTTATGTAATCTTTGCAAAGGTGGTGTTGACGAGGAGATCATTGACACGTTAGAGTGTTGCAAGACACAACCGTGCTCTTGTTTAAATGCTGGAGCGGGTACGACACAACCAGCGGCAGTGGCAGCCCCATTAGCGGCAGGAGCAGTAGTAGCCCCAATAGGAGCCCCAGGACCTCCAGTGGCCTCTCAACCTCAACGAGGAACTGCATTACCAACACCCGCATCCGCCCCAGCCCAACCACAGCCTATTCAACAGTCATATCCTTCTTTACTCCCGTCTCAACCTGTTGCCGTGCCTCCTCTTCCCCCATTAGGGCAAGTCAATCCCGTCTCTCCATTACAACCTGCATCAGCGCCACCACTTCCATCCCAACCCGCCTCAGCGCCACCACTTGGAGCACCTCCTCAACCTTTACCATCTGGCCCAGGACCTCCAGTTTCTTCACCCGGGCTGCCACTTCCCCTTCCGCCGAAGCCGGAGATAACTCCTCCTGCAGCAGAGATTACTCCTCCGAAACCAGGACGCGTTCCACCAAAGCCGGAGATTCCAGTTCCCGGCCCCCCTGGATCACTTACTCCACCCAAGCCAGAAATCCCAGTCCCCGAGGCGCCCAGTTCAGGTGTCCCTCTGAAGCCAGAAACTCCAAGCCAGGGACCAATTCCCGAGACAGGAACAAAACTTCCACCTAGACCTGGAATTGGAGGACCTGAAAGAGGACCAGGAAAGCAATCATCATCTACTACACCGGGATCGTCAAGTCCTGAAGGTCCAGGCCCCCCAGGCTCATTGGTTGCTCCTCCACCAGATAGCACAGGTCCTATCCAGCTTCCGTCTTTACCACCTTTACTACCTGGTGAACCGGGGCCCAGTGGTGAGTAAAACACGCTTTATATGTGCAGACTGAAGTAAATTCTGAATTGAGATGAAACAAACGGCCACAACAGGATATTGGGTGGGAATATGGGGTAGAACACAGAGGGACTGAGTGCGAGATTACTGGCCTGAGGTCTTAAAAACATAAGCTGAATGAAGACGAGATCCGTGAATACAGAAAGAAAGAGAATCGACAGTCTTTTTGAAGAAAAAGTTTCATCTCAAAAGAACTGTAGAAAATGGATTCTTATACCGATGTTATTTACAAAACAAATAACCGACCATAAAGCACGACCACTAAGCACTCAGTGATCTAGACAGTGGAACAAGAAAGGAACACTTACAGGGCTTTAAAGCACATAATAATGCATAATAAGAGATAAATCGTTTATGTTTACTCCACAGCTCCTGCTGCTCCTAATCCAGTAGCACCTCTTCCAGCTGCGCCTACCCCGACCGTCGTACCGCCGCTCCCTCAGCTACCACTGCCGAAGACAGCTTATCCTGCTCCTCCGGCACCTCCTCAGGTATTTATCATCAAGGAAAATAGCGTTTCTGCAAACGATCCAGAAGACAGCAAGAGTGCAGAGGCACTCGATAATTTAAGCCAGTCGTTCGAGAATGCGTTCACGAAGGCTCTTAAGTCTCAACGAAAGAAAACTAAGCTGCACCATAAACCTCGTAGAGGGCGTGTTAATCAAAAGCCAGAGGAAAGAGAAAATTTGGATTCAGAAGACGAAGCGACCGAGAACGAAGAGAACGAGGACGACGAGGAGAAGGTGCAGTTTTATGGCGGCTCACGAGGAGATTTCGAAGACGATGATTTAAATGAAGACAGTGATATCAGTCGAAAAAATGACAATGACGATGACGACGATAGTGAGGATGATAATGATATTGATCAGAATAAGGCGGATGAAGAGCCGCCATATGACTTGGACCAACCTCGCTATTCTCATTCTCGGCCATCTTACGAGGACGACGAGCACCAAGATTCGTCGAGACACGACCAAAACGATCAGGCACGGAAAAGGAAAAAATATTTAGTCCTCGAGCAGTATGGTAAAAATGAGGACCTGAGTGATAAAAAGGCAGATAGGCACCAGCTGTCATATGGTCGCTCTGAAAATGCATTTTCCAATCGATATTTTGAACGTCAAGGTTTTGACACTCATAGAGAAAAACACCCAACACTCAAAAAAACGAACTACGATGACAAATCGCCAGGGTTTGATTTCGATTCCACTGATGATGAAAGTACTCAAAAAGTTCATAGGGAAAGACATCACCCAACACTGAAAACAACTAACTACGAGTTTGATTCCCATTCCATTTACGGTGAAACTACTCGAAAAGTTCCATCAGAAGCCGCGTCTGTATCTAGTCGGCGCCACAAGGTCAGGTCCAAACACTTCAATAGCCAAAAGCCACGTTCGAAATTCAAAGCTCAGAGGAAAAAACTTCCAACACTGAAAACAATGAACTACAATGATAGGTCGCGAGGGTATGATATCGGTTCTATTTACGGTGAGACTACTCGAAAAGTTCCATCAGAAACCTTGTCTGTCTCTAGTCGGCGCCACAAGGTCAGATCCAAACACTTCAGCAGTCAAAAGCCACGTTCAAAATTCCAGCATTACTCTAAAGATCTGTCTGTTAGTCATGATATAAGTAATTTTGCTCATTTGCAGGACCGAGCTTCTCACAAACATGGCCGCATGCATGGACATGATCATCATTCTCTGCATAAACAGTCAAAAAATGTCGAAAAGAGTCGTTCAAAAGCTGAAATGATTCCCGAGGACGAAATTACTGAGGATGTAGGCTCAACTAGTGAAGGAAATGATTATTCTGGAGATGATAAACGTCTTTCTTCCTTTTCATCTTCTGGAAATTACGAGAAAAACAACCAGCATCGTCCAGTGGAGGACACTTACATTGAGGGACATAAAAATCCTGCGCTATCTACTGTGCAGGTTTATAAACCAGGACGTCATTCAAAGTTTAGCAAAAGAAAAAAAATTAAAAGTGATAAAAACATCAAGGAGGAAAATAGTTATAACTCAGGTGAAGAATCTGGCGAAAAAGAAGACAATGATACTGATGGTGGCGAGTATTATTAGGAACCTTTTCCTTAATTACTTTCCCCTTAAAGATGATTTCCAGACCATACTACGCAATCTCAGCACCCAAATGTTTATAAACATTATAAATCCCACTCGATGGAATGCGAATCGTTATTATTTGTTACAAACCACATTCTTATCCTTGAGGCCTTTCAAATTCTTTTCCAACAGCTTCATTGATTCTTACAGCTGCGAAGCTGTTTCATCAAGTGATATGAGAAAGAACAAAGCATAAAGCTTCGACCCCTTCGCATCCAAAATGGCGGTTGTTTGAAACTTTGAATTTACTTCATGTAAGTAGTTGCGAAATGTTTACATTATGTGATGTCTTTCGTAACACAAAACAAAAAAAGCAAACAAACTCTCGAGAGTGGGCAGTACGGACTGGAAATCATCTTTAAGAGTGCTCTCTCTTAATGATGGCAACGTTCGTCCCAAAAGAACTCCTTTCCTTCTGTAAATTAAATGCACGCTTTTTGTTATGGGAAAGATTTGCTTTAGTCTTTGAGCTTTGAATAAAACCAGTAACATTTACAATAACTGTAGTCTTTGCGTCGTTCGTGCTATTCCAAATTCTGAAAAGTCTACAAGTAATTTCTTATTTAGAAGTATGGTTGTTTTACTCCATTAAGTTGGAAATGCTATTTGTCCTTCAAGCACGCTAGAGCACGAGCTCGATTGGAGGGAAATTAAAGGAAAATGGAAAGTCTATCAGCTATGTTTTCCACTACTTTTATTATAGACAACTTGTCTGGACAATCCTTCTGCAGGGAAAAAGTTGCCCGTTTAATTTGAGAGCAGTTACCATAAACATCAGCACTTCGTTCTATAGGGTCAAAGGTTGTTTTTTTTTCCTAGAAAATTCGACTTTTGATCATTTATATCTTCTAAAAACGAAATCAAGGAAGATCATTGCAAACGTAGCAGGGTAGATAATTTAAATTTGCATCGAAAACACTCATTTATTGATCGCTGATTTGTTAAATTCTAACAAATTATTACGTGACACGTCACGTGATCAACATAATATGCTAAGGCAAAGCGGGACGCCGAGTTTTATAATCAGGGAAAATTCAGCTTCGTGAAACAAATATAACAAGAGATATAGCTGCCCAATCATAATTCTACTTTACACTACTGACCCGGGCCTTAAACTGCTTGAAAACCCCACAATTATTCAAAACTTATTAAAATTTTGAATTTTTTCCTCACTTTTAAACCAATTTCGCATGTACTAAACACAAATTACCAGTGTCATTACAAACCGTCATTTTCACTCAAAGAATGGCACCTACCTGACACCACAGTCGACTACGTTTCTAGTGAAGTTTATTTCCCTCACTTTAAAGAGCTTACAGGCACTTAAATAGCTTGATTATTGGACAGTTCTTCCCTTAACTATGTCTTATTCTACTGGTGTATCTTCTTTTCCTTTTCTCCATACTGTTCTACTTGGTGATATCACAGGAGATGTCCCCTTTCAGATCATCAAAGTTGATGTGACCCCATTTACCAGAGCTGTTGTCGATCAGTCTGATGTGTGCCTTTTGACCATAGAATCCTATGACATCCCAGGTCACCCTTTCCATTGCCTCATGGCATTTTCCGGTCGCAGTCTTCTCCACCTGAAAAGTGAGGGTTAATGTATTTTGTTACTAACTTACAGGCACAGGAATCACTTGCCTTACATTGTAAAGAGGATTCGATAGGCCATTTTCGAATTGCCTTTTGCCTCTGTGTCAAAACCAGTCTTCGTGCGAAAACTTTCGTATGGAAATGTGTTCCTCCTACATGTTCATTTTCATTCAAATCAAACTCATTTTCATATGAAATATTTTGCACGAAGACTCTCTTTGAACCAGAGGCAAGATGTCTCGGAAATGGCCTTTGAATCAATACAAATCTGTGAGCACGAAAATACCTATCCAGAAAAAAAAACTTCACCATCTTGAACTTGAGTTTGTTGAACTACCCGCTATCTCGAATTCAAATCATTTTCCCTTGAATATACCATTTTAGTTGTTTACTATGGGCCATCTCGAACACAGAAGCTGTGTACACACTGCACAGCGGCGCCTATCAAGTTCATAGGGAGTTTAAGAAACCGGGACGCGACGCTGAGGACAAAGTCGATTAAAAAATGATTTTATAAATTACCTACGAATCTCGCGATACTCTAAAGTCATTTTCCTTTGTTTCTTAGCGTCAAAACTATCACGAAACTGAATCTGAGACACAGCGAAACATTTGAAATAAAAATAAAAAAAATATTTTAAGGAAAACGACCAATTTTTTAAGTTTAAAAGACATGTTTCGACAGAACTTCTCTCATCTTCAGTTGAATGAATGATTACAAAGCAAGTTGAATAATANCCTTTTATGGGATATCCACCTGGCAGGAACCTAAATCAAGGATATCAGGGATACCCGGCCGGTGGAAATCCTAATCAGGGATATCCGGCAGGTGGAAATCCTAATCAGGGATATCCGGCAGGTGGAAATGAAAACCAGGGATATCCAGCTGGTGGAAATCCTAATCAGGGATACCCGGCGCGTGGAAATGAAAACCAGGGATATCCGGCGGGTGGAAGTCCAAATCAGGGATATCCAGCTGGCGGAAATCAAAACCAGGGATATCCGGCTGGTGGAAATCAAAACGCAGCAGTCGCACCAGCTGCAAATAATGGCTCTCCTTTAGCGGGATTAAATGGAATCCTGCCTTTATTACTTCCCTTCAATTGCCGTTGTGGATGCGAAAGAAGGTGTCCAGATTTATGTAATCTTTGCAAAGGTGGTGTTGACGAGGAGATCATTGACACGTTAGAGTGTTGCAAGACACAACCGTGCTCTTGTTTAAATGCTGGAGCGGGTACGACACAACCAGCGGCAGTGGCAGCCCCATTAGCGGCAGGAGCAGTAGTAGCCCCAATAGGAGCCCCAGGACCTCCAGTGGCCTCTCAACCTCAACGAGGAACTGCATTACCAACACCCGCATCCGCCCCAGCCCAACCACAGCCTATTCAACAGTCATATCCTTCTTTACTCCCGTCTCAACCTGTTGCCGTGCCTCCTCTTCCCCCATTAGGGCAAGTCAATCCCGTCTCTCCATTACAACCTGCATCAGCGCCACCACTTCCATCCCAACCCGCCTCAGCGCCACCACTTGGAGCACCTCCTCAACCTTTACCATCTGGCCCAGGACCTCCAGTTTCTTCACCCGGGCTGCCACTTCCCCTTCCGCCGAAGCCGGAGATAACTCCTCCTGCAGCAGAGATTACTCCTCCGAAACCAGGACGCGTTCCACCAAAGCCGGAGATTCCAGTTCCCGGCCCCCCTGGATCACTTACTCCACCCAAGCCAGAAATCCCAGTCCCCGAGGCGCCCAGTTCAGGTGTCCCTCTGAAGCCAGAAACTCCAAGCCAGGGACCAATTCCCGAGACAGGAACAAAACTTCCACCTAGACCTGGAATTGGAGGACCTGAAAGAGGACCAGGAAAGCAATCATCATCTACTACACCGGGATCGTCAAGTCCTGAAGGTCCAGGCCCCCCAGGCTCATTGGTTGCTCCTCCACCAGATAGCACAGGTCCTATCCAGCTTCCGTCTTTACCACCTTTACTACCTGGTGAACCGGGGCCCAGTGGTGAGTAAAACACGCTTTATATGTGCAGACTGAAGTAAATTCTGAATTGAGATGAAACAAACGGCCACAACAGGATATTGGGTGGGAATATGGGGTAGAACACAGAGGGACTGAGTGCGAGATTACTGGCCTGAGGTCTTAAAAACATAAGCTGAATGAAGACGAGATCCGTGAATACAGAAAGAAAGAGAATCGACAGTCTTTTTGAAGAAAAAGTTTCATCTCAAAAGAACTGTAGAAAATGGATTCTTATACCGATGTTATTTACAAAACAAATAACCGACCATAAAGCACGACCACTAAGCACTCAGTGATCTAGACAGTGGAACAAGAAAGGAACACTTATAGGGCTTTAAAGCACATACTAATGCATAATAAGAGATAAATCGTTTATGTTTACTCCACAGCTCCTGCTGCTCCTAATCCAGTAGCACCTCTTCCAGCTGCGCCTACCCCGACCGTCGTACCGCCGCTCCCTCAGCTACCACTGCCGAAGACAGCTTATCCTGCTCCTCCGGCACCTCCTCAGGTATTTATCATCAAGGAAAATAGCGTTTCTGCAAACGATCCAGAAGACAGCAAGAGTGCAGAGGCACTCGATAATTTAAGCCAGTCGTTCGAGAATGCGTTCACGAAGGCTCTTAAGTCTCAACGAAAGAAAACTAAGCTGCACCATAAACCTCGTAGAGGGCGTGTTAATCAAAAGCCAGAGGAAAGAGAAAATTTGGATTCAGAAGACGAAGCGACCGAGAACGAAGAGAACGAGGACGACGAGGAGAAGGTGCAGTTTTATGGCGGCTCACGAGGAGATTTCGAAGACGATGATTTAAATGAAGACAGTGATATCAGTCGAAAAAATGACAATGACGATGACGACGATAGTGAGGATGATAATGATATTGATCAGAATAAGGCGGATGAAGAGCCGCCATATGACTTGGACCAACCTCGCTATTCTCATTCTCGGCCATCTTACGAGGACGACGAGCACCAAGATTCGTCGAGACACGACCAAAACGATCAGGCACGGAAAAGGAAAAAATATTTAGTCCTCGAGCAGTATGGTAAAAATGAGGACCTGAGTGATAAAAAGGCAGATAGGCACCAGCTGTCATATGGTCGCTCTGAAAATGCATTTTCCAATCGATATTTTGAACGTCAAGGTTTTGACACTCATAGAGAAAAACACCCAACACTCAAAAAAACGAACTACGATGACAAATCGCCAGGGTTTGATTTCGATTCCACTGATGATGAAAGTACTCAAAAAGTTCATAGGGAAAGACATCACCCAACACTGAAAACAACTAACTACGAGTTTGATTCCCATTCCATTTACGGTGAAACTACTCGAAAAGTTCCATCAGAAGCCGCGTCTGTATCTAGTCGGCGCCACAAGGTCAGGTCCAAACACTTCAATAGCCAAAAGCCACGTTCGAAATTCAAAGCTCAGAGGAAAAAACTTCCAACACTGAAAACAATGAACTACAATGATAGGTCGCGAGGGTATGATATCGGTTCTATTTACGGTGAGACTACTCGAAAAGTTCCATCAGAAACCTTGTCTGTCTCTAGTCGGCGCCACAAGGTCAGATCCAAACACTTCAGCAGTCAAAAGCCACGTTCAAAATTCCAGCATTACTCTAAAGATCTGTCTGTTAGTCATGATATAAGTAATTTTGCTCATTTGCAGGACCGAGCTTCTCACAAACATGGCCGCATGCATGGACATGATCATCATTCTCTGCATAAACAGTCAAAAAATGTCGAAAAGAGTCGTTCAAAAGCTGAAATGATTCCCGAGGACGAAATTACTGAGGATGTAGGCTCAACTAGTGAAGGAAATGATTATTCTGGAGATGATAAACGTCTTTCTTCCTTTTCATCTTCTGGAAATTACGAGAAAAACAACCAGCATCGTCCAGTGGAGGACACTTACATTGAGGGACATAAAAATCCTGCGCTATCTACTGTGCAGGTTTATAAACCAGGACGTCATTCAAAGTTTAGCAAAAGAAAAAAAAATTAAAAGTGATAAAAACATCAAGGAGGAAAATAGTTATAACTCAGGTGAAGAATCTGGCGAAAAAGAAGACAATGATACTGATGGTGGCGAGTATTATTAGGAACCTTTTCCTTAATTACTTTCCCCTTAAAGATGATTTCCAGACCATACTACGCAATCTCAGCACCCAAATGTTTATAAACATTATAAATCCCACTCGATGGAATGCGAATCGTTATTATTTGTTACAAACCACATTCTTATCCTTGAGGCCTTTCAAATTCTTTTCCAACAGCTTCATTGATTCTTACAGCTGCGAAGCTGTTTCATCAAGTGATATGAGAAAGAACAAAGCATAAAGCTTCGACCCCTTCGCATCCAAAATGGCGGTTGTTTGAAACTTTGAATTTACTTCATGTAAGTAGTTGCGAAATGTTTACATTATGTGATGTCTTTCGTAACACAAAACAAAAAAAGCAAACAAACTCTCGAGAGTGGGCAGTACGGACTGGAAATCATCTTTAAGAGTGCTCTCTCTTAATGATGGCAACGTTCGTCCCAAAAGAACTCCTTTCCTTCTGTAAATTAAATGCACGCTTTTTGTTATGGGAAAGATTTGCTTTAGTCTTTGAGCTTTGAATAAAACCAGTAACATTTACAATAACTGTAGTCTTTGCGTCGTTCGTGCTATTCCAAATTCTGAAAAGTCTACAAGTAATTTCTTATTTAGAAGTATGGTTGTTTTACTCCATTAAGTTGGAAATGCTATTTGTCCTTCAAGCACGCTAGAGCACGAGCTCGATTGGAGGGAAATTAAAGGAAAATGGAAAGTCTATCAGCTATGTTTTCCACTACTTTTATTATAGACAACTTGTCTGGACAATCCTTCTGCAGGGAAAAAGTTGCCCGTTTAATTTGAGAGCAGTTACCATAAACATCAGCACTTCGTTCTATAGGGTCAAAGGTTGTTTTTTTTTCCTAGAAAATTCGACTTTTGATCATTTATATCTTCTAAAAACGAAATCAAGGAAGATCATTGCAAACGTAGCAGGGTAGATAATTTAAATTTGCATCGAAAACACTCATTTATTGATCGCTGATTTGTTAAATTCTAACAAATTATTACGTGACACGTCACGTGATCAACATAATATGCTAAGGCAAAGCGGGACGCCGAGTTTTATAATCAGGGAAAATTCAGCTTCGTGAAACAAATATAACAAGAGATATAGCTGCCCAATCATAATTCTACTTTACACTACTGACCCGGGCCTTAAACTGCTTGAAAACCCCACAATTATTCAAAACTTATTAAAATTTTGAATTTTTTCCTCACTTTTAAACCAATTTCGCATGTACTAAACACAAATTACCAGTGTCATTACAAACCGTCATTTTCACTCAAAGAATGGCACCTACCTGACACCACAGTCGACTACGTTTCTAGTGAAGTTTATTTCCCTCACTTTAAAGAGCTTACAGGCACTTAAATAGCTTGATTATTGGACAGTTCTTCCCTTAACTATGTCTTATTCTACTGGTGTATCTTCTTTTCCTTTTCTCCATACTGTTCTACTTGGTGATATCACAGGAGATGTCCCCTTTCAGATCATCAAAGTTGATGTGACCCCATTTACCAGAGCTGTTGTCGATCAGTCTGATGTGTGCCTTTTGACCATAGAATCCTATGACATCCCAGGTCACCCTTTCCATTGCCTCATGGCATTTTCCGGTCGCAGTCTTCTCCACCTGAAAAGTGAGGGTTAATGTATTTTGTTACTAACTTACAGGCACAGGAATCACTTGCCTTACATTGTAAAGAGGATTCGATAGGCCATTTTCGAATTGCCTTTTGCCTCTGTGTCAAAACCAGTCTTCGTGCGAAAACTTTCGTATGGAAATGTGTTCCTCCTACATGTTCATTTTCATTCAAATCAAACTCATTTTCATATGAAATATTTTGCACGAAGACTCTCTTTGAACCAGAGGCAAGATGTCTCGGAAATGGCCTTTGAATCAATACAAATCTGTGAGCACGAAAATACCTATCCAGAAAAAAAAACTTCACCATCTTGAACTTGAGTTTGTTGAACTACCCGCTATCTCGAATTCAAATCATTTTCCCTTGAATATACCATTTTAGTTGTTTACTATGGGCCATCTCGAACACAGAAGCTGTGTACACACTGCACAGCGGCGCCTATCAAGTTCATAGGGAGTTTAAGAAACCGGGACGCGACGCTGAGGACAAAGTCGATTAAAAAATGATTTTATAAATTACCTACGAATCTCGCGATACTCTAAAGTCATTTTCCTTTGTTTCTTAGCGTCAAAACTATCACGAAACTGAATCTGAGACACAGCGAAACATTTGAAATAAAAATAAAAAAAATATTTTAAGGAAAACGACCAATTTTTTAAGTTTAAAAGACATGTTTCGACAGAACTTCTCTCATCTTCAGTTGAATGAATGATTACAAAGCAAGTTGAATAATA